GCAGGATTTGAACCCTTTCTCCCCTCCTTTCTCTGGGGACTATGTTGGTAGCGCACAAACCAGTCAGCTTCCTGAAGCCCTCAGCTCCACTGGTGCAGCACGAAGTGAGGGTGCAGGATGGACCCTCCCCGGCCCAGCCTACCATGACCATCAGCCGCTCGCAGAGCCCGCTTCCCCCCGTGGACTGGAAGACATATACTGCTTCAGGCCGAAAGCTGAGGCCTTCCTTCTCTTCCCCTCCCAGGCCCTGCAGTGGACAGGGAGCAGGGTCTGGGGCCCTCAGACAGACGGCTCCATTTCTAAGGTACAGGAGAACATTTTTCCTCCTCTTTCGGAGTCCCTATTCTCAGAGGGCGTCCCACCTCAAGATAAAGGGGGCAGTGCCTGTAGCCTAACAAATCTCAGGTGTTCAGAACATTCCAGTGCTTTAGTTAGTTCACGATGCCAACTCATATCATACACAAGGAGGCTGAGGCCCCGCAAAGGGGACACACAAGGCCAAGGTCCTTCTGCCAGTCATGGCAGAGCGGAGTCTAAGACCTCTCCATGAGACAAGTCACCTCTGGTTGTCAGACCTCTGGTCTGGGATCATCACTCACAGGACCTGAAATCACCCAGGCGTGGACCGGGTTTCCTTCCATTCCTTCTACCTGCTACCTGGGGAACCGAGAGAGGAGGCTTGAACAGTGACTGCCACCGGGGGACTTTCCAGCAACATTGGTGTTCAGGTCCGGGGAGAGCCTTGCCTTCCCTTCCCAGAGCTAGGGGGTGCACTCGATGACCCTGACAGCCATACAAGTTTCCCTTTTCAGACTGTCGTTCTTCTTTTTCAGGTCCCAGGAAAGGTTTCTTACTTCGTCTCAGAGGCAGTTGTCAGCTGGGGACAGCAAGCCCAATCCCCAGTTCTCATCCACTCATAGGAACCAAGACCAATGGTGCACCCCATCAGGGAAGAGAGAGACCAGATACCCCGCGGAACTCCCGAGGGGAAGGACTCCCACATCTTGGGTTCATGAGGAGACAGCCAGCCGGGGAACCCGTGCCAGTGCCCCCACCCCTCAGAAACCCCAAACGCCTCAGGCCACCACCAAAGAGACATCTGCAAGAGGACCATGTCCCTTGCCTCATTACTCTAGCCCAGCCCAGCCCCTGGGCCGCATGCTGTCACCCTGGGGTGAGGCTGAGCGTGCATCCCTCCAGCTCAGGGAGCCAGTGTCTGTCCGTTCTCCATCTCCTGCCAAAGGACTCACTAAGATCCCCGTCCTACTGTCCCCTGCTCGCCCTCCCACCCCAGGACGAAGCTTTCCAGGTACTCTTAGTGGAGGACCAATAGCAGAACTGAGCAGAGGTCCCATCCCAGTAAGGGTTGTCATGGGAGACTTGGCCAGGTGTAGGCATGAGGACATCTCTGTGGAAGGGAGGAGGCAGGGCTACCAGCAGGCAGACATCCAGGTCACTGCAGAGGCTGGAGAGCCCCAGGAGCTAGGCCCACAGGAGTGGGAGGGGAGGTGCACTCTCCTGCCCCTGGGCAGGCCCAAGGAGCAAACCATCTACTGTAGCCATGAGGAGGAGATTGTGTCCAGTGTGAAGAAGCTAGAGGTGGGGATTGTCCATCCCCAGGGTGCAGAGCCGCCGCCAGTCATCCCTCGAAGTGCAGTCTATGTCCCTAGCCCAGGTGGGCGGTGGCCTGAGCTTCGGGGTCTGTACGATCAAGTCATCCAAGAACTGGCTCGGGGCCCTCCACCCCTCCTTAAAGTGGACCTGGGAGCCTGGAACATAGCCTCTACAGAGTCCCCCAAGCCAGCTGTTACTGCAGGCCCAGGAGACACAAAAGAGAAGCTGGGAGCCAGAGACAGTGGGCCACTGGCAAAGGCAAGCCCTCATGCCAAAGGCACCCAGATGTGGAAGGTCTCGCCTCCAGGAGGGCAGAACTGCTCAGCCCCTAACGTGTCTGCCAGCCCTGAGGTCCCCACACCTTTGCCCTCAGGACCCACTTCTCACAAAGCCAATGGATGTCAGGGCAAAGGCAAGAGAACACTCCGGAAGCCCAAGAAGGTCCCATCCATCTACAAGCTGAAGCTGAGGCCCAGGATTCGGCCCCGGAAAGACCACAGACCTGAGAAGCATCCTTCACGAATCCCCAAGCCACTGGCCTACCTCTGCCTGGGTCCAGCTAGGGCACCCCCCAGGGAGAGGCCACTGAGAGCCGCCCTAGGCAGCAAGAGAGAAGCACCCCAGGTGGATGGAGCTTCAGCAAGAGAAGAGGAGGAAGAAAAGAAGAAAGAGCCACCGGCTCCCCTGGAGAGAAGCCACCCACCTTGGGAGGGCCAGGGCCCTCAGCAGCTTGATCAAGTCCAGCTCCCCTTGGAGGAGGAATCCTGGGTCTGAGGAGAGCGCAGGTGAGAGAGGAGAAAAGCAAAATGGATGCCCATGTATGCAAGAGCAGACAGGACCTTGACCAGGAGGACATCCAAAGACAAGTATAGGCTCAATCTGTTCCATTGAGCAAAAGGACAACCCATCACCCCATTCCAATTCCAGCATTAGCCTAAGGGCAGTGGGGTGACTCTTTATCATACTGCACCCACCAAAATTGTTTCCAAATTCCTGGCCTCTCACCATGGCCACCTCTTCCCACAGCTAAGTCATTAAACACATGTGGTTCTGTCATGGAGCCCTCAGGATTTGGACTCCTCTACTCTAGGACTGTGGAGCCGTAGAAAGGTGTAGTTTCAAGCGTCATCCGATTGGAGGGAGTTGGGGGGTGAAGGAGGCTTCCTTTGCAGAGAATCCACCAGCCTTTCCAGATAGCCTGCTTTCCTGGAGGTGGCTGGTGGCTCAGAACCATGGACAGGGACACGAGCTGCCCAACGCAGGCTCCTGCAGGTCGCCTTACCAAGGACTTCAAAGCTTTTCTATGAGGCTTGGGAACCCAAACCATTCAGGGGCAAGAGGGATGGCTGAGAGTACTTCTAACACACCTATGTCTCAGAAGCCATGTCTGAGAGGCCACAAGGTCTCAGTCCTGTGCGGGAAGAGGACACAGGAGAAGCTGGGATTGAGTTCTGTTATAAAAAGGTTGCAAAGGCTAGGGATTTAGCTCAGTGGTTTCACCACCTGCCTGGCAAATGCAAGGGCCCAAGTTCGATCCCCGGTACAGAAAAAAAAAAAAAAAAAAAAAAGTTGCAGAGAGAGCAGCAAGGGGAAAAACTACATTCCCTCCTGGTTTGGAATTGGGCAGAGAGATGTGTCCCATGTTCTTCTCCTTTGATCTCAGTAACCTGAGCTTTTGGGCTGGTGACCATTTCATCACTGTCACCCTCCTGCCACACAGAGCTCAGCAGACAGGTACTGTAGGAACCGCTCCCCTCCTTCCAAGTGAAACAGAGCCAACACCTTGGTACAGAAACAAGGGAAACACTCCCTGATGTTTAATCTGACTTCTGATAACAGCCTAATGGGCATCACACACACTTCCAGACCCTGTGGTGGGAAACCCTGGTGGGGAAGGGGGGAGGACAGAGACTCAGAATAGTTGTGGAGGGGCCTGAAATCCAAGACCTGGGGTGAAGCGCAGGGCTGTGAGGGGGAGCCTGTTGGGGGTACATTCCATTGGTTCCCACGGGGGGGGGCACCAGAAGCCTGGGTCCCCCACCCTCACCTCAGGTGCCTCAGAGTTTGGGGTAGGAGGGCATATGAGATATTGTCATCCTCCTCCATCCCTCTGGTGAACCAGGGGACAAGGGTGTGAAGACAAGAGTGGGCAGCCCTCTTCCTTACCCTCCTGGCCACTCTAAAGTGTGGGGGAGGGGAGCCACCACCTCTGTTTCAGAGGGAGGCTCAGAGAGGGCAAGACACTTGCCCAATCATGCAGCACAGCAGGGACTGAAACCCAGTGCAATGGTCTGCCCAAGGTCAGGGCAGCTGCTGTAGGGGGTGGCAGGTGCTGTAGGGGTGTGCTGCCCCCGGTGGGGGAGGGGGTGGAGGCCAGTGGGGGAAGCGGAAGAGAGAATCACAGATTCCCCACACACTGGATCGTAATGATAAAGCCCCCAGCAATGACCCTTCCCCCAGCCTCCTCTCCATCGTTCTGGGCTACCTGATTTCCTGGCTTAGGTGCTGCAGCCTTGGCTAAGCTGGTCAAAGCTGGATTGTTGTAGGTGACCCCTGTAACCAAGGGTCCCTGACATCCTCCCAGCGGACCAGGGCCAGGGGCTCAGCCTCAAAAAGAACTTCCTTTGGTGGGGGGCAAGGGACACGGCACCGTTTCTCTTTCTCTCCAAGTCCCCCATTAACCCCTCAGGGCATTTCCTAGAATCGTTATTATTGTTATTTCTAAATCAGTACAAAACTGACAGTGATCAGCTCCGGTGACGAGAGGTAGAAACCAGGCCAGGTGGCCGGAAAAAATGGGGTGGAGTGAGTTAGGGCACGGGGATAACTGGTGTTGGAACAGCGGTGTCAGATCCTGAGGGCCTCCACCTATGGGTGGGGATGCAGGCACCTCCCTCAGGCACAGGGGTCCCATGATTCTCTTCCCAGCTCCTGCCCAGAAGAATCAGGGCACCCTGAGATCTGAGACAGGCAGAACTTGGGGTAATCAGAGCGGGGTGGGATGGGGAGACAGAGCCATCACTGGCACAACGTGACCCCCTCCTGGGCATCACTCTGCCAGCCACCAACAGACCCCCAGAACTCCACATCCCCCAGTCAGGCAGATCCCCTGGAGCAGGAGGTAACAGAGGGCTGGAACCTGGCATCAGGGGAAGGAATCTATCCTTTGGGAAATTCCCTCTCCACGCTGTTAAAGCGAAATAAAAATTTTAACCCACGGGGTGATCTGGCTTTGGGGTCAGGATGGGGGTGAGGGGCACCCGGCAGGGACGGACCATCGAGTTAAGGCTGGAAGGTAGGTTGTTGTGTCTCTGGGGGCTGTTTGGGCAGGGAGGTCTCCCTGGGAGCAGGAAGCTCAGCCTTATCCCCCTGACTCATCTGGGACCTCAACCCTCAGACCTCTTGATTGTGGTCCGTGGGCCACCTGCATCTCTCTGCCCTGTGCCAGTGGCGCTGACGGTCAGATGGCCTGGCATCGCGAAGCTGCCAGGATCTGTGACCAGGAGATGGACAAAATGAGAGCCCTGTGAGCGGAGCTGGGGGTAGGGAGGGAGACCGGAGGGCGGATAGACAGGGAAGAAGTAACAGACAGTCGGGCAGACAGACACGGGGAAAGACTGACGCGCTCTGGAGGGGACTGGTGGGGGCCCGGCCAAGGCAGCAGCACCTCCTC